CACGGGAATCGAAACGGGACATGGAGGCGAGGGGCCAGGAATGCGACAGGTTGGTGCACGGGGGGCGGGTGCACTATTACCCAGCAGGCACGGAATTCAACGCCAAATTCTGGAGGCGATCGGGCCTATACCAGGCCGACGGCCCGCTCGGCCACGTTCGCGAGCTCCTGGGCGAACGAGGTGGGGTAGTGATCCGTGGCCTTCAGGTCGGGCGCGTCTGCCGTCGCCCCCCCTCTCCCCCTTCGACTGCGCGTCGCATGCCAGCCCCCATGTGGCCCCGGCCCACCGCCGCCCACTCTCGCTCCCTCCGACACCGCTCCCACCCACCACCCTCCGCACTCCCGCCCATCCTCCTCGCCCCCATCCCCCCGCATCTACACCCGGCCGCCCCGCGCCCCCCCCCTGCCGACCCCCCCGTCGCAAGACTGATGTGCCGAGTCGGCGCGTCAGTTCCTGCCCCCCGACGTTCTTGAATCGCCCTTCGCGTTGCTCCTCGCCTCCTCCCTTCTCGCGCTCCGAACCTTCCCGCGTTCGCCCCCCGCGTCTACGTCCACCCTTTTCGGCCCGCGCCCCCGCGGTCCCACCAACAGGTAGTCGCGTATTGTCGTGGTTCGTCCACCTCGCGTCTCCCCCTCGTTTCTCCTCCTCGGCGGTTTAAGTTGCGACGTTGGCCCAGGGCACCTTTGAAGACCCCAGCTTTCGATGTCCAACACACGCTCGCCTTCGTCGAGCCCCATCGGCGGCGACGGTTTCACCAAAGACGCCGTCAGCTCGTCACCCATTGTGCAGCAGGACTGTGGGCTTCGGGATTGTGGCCCCGAGCGGACCTCGGTAGGTGAGCAGCTTCGATCCATTCGTCATCTCAATCATCGAGGCCATAGCTGGAAATTTAAGCATAGAGTTGTCCTTCGGCTGCTCAATCATGTAGTATAAGCCACGCATGTGACACATCCACATCAACATAGACACAGCAGTAGCGACCGTGCTCGACGCCTTCACGCCTGGGTGACCCACGTGTCCGAACTCAGACAAGTACCTGCCACTTGTGTAAGAGTTCAGCCACGTCCAGTCGCTGCACGGCGGCGCCATAAACACAACACCGTTCGGCACGACCGTCAGTAAGAGCATGATCGCCCACGCGATGCCGCTGGATGAAAAAAAAAATCGCTTCGATAGCAGACCACCCCTCCTCCCCATTGCGTACCATTTGCCGTCCTCGTGCTCCCATTTATAGTGCTCCCGTGCAGTATTACACGCGCGTCCCAATCCAATTCTAGATCCCCTAGTGCGTGTGTATATGTACACTTGTCTGCACAACGAGGTTTTATAATGCATTGGCGCGCCGACAGTAGCCCGAAATTCGAAAATATAAAATGTCCTGACGGTGGTGGGGCCCTCATCAAGGCTGCGGGTCTCGCGGTCGAATTCGCGGGTCTCGGCGCCGTGGCTCTTCCGACGCCAGTAGGAGCACCCCCACCCCCAGCCCGGACAGAGCCCGACACCGTGTCTGAAACGATCGGTGCCCCCAAACCCCATCGTCAGCATCGCCGCCGCGTGGGCCATCGACTCCACCGAGGCGTTCTGTGGCAGGGGGTCCACCTGCGGCGACAGCCCGCGCGCAGCGCCCCCTCCCCGAACTCATGTCTCAACGCCAACCGGCCCCGCAAGCTAAGTTTGAGATGCAATCATCACGGGCAAAGAAGCTAACTGCACTGACGCCGCTAACACTCTTGTGGTTTCGTGTTTCTGGCTTCGCGGGGGGCCCTCTCTGCGGCGGCTGGAGTCGCATTCGCCCTAAAATTCTGCCCAGAACGCGCGCCCCCATGCCCCCCCCCCCCCAGGGGCGACGGGTGAATCGGGCGAAATCTCGGCTTCTGAGAAAAGACATGCGCGATGTTTTCGTTGCCGCCTTCTTCGCCGTAGACGGCGCCCCTCGCATTTTTTTTGCGGGCAGCGACGCGCAGGAGTCACCACGTCGAAAACGAATATCGTCGGGCTTCGGTTGGGCCGAATTTGGCCTACTAATATTGGTGCTTGTGTTGCAAGTGCTCCCGCTAGGTTTTCCCCCAGTGTGCGCAGCTCTCTTTTTTTTCTCGCTCGCTCTCGCTCTCTCTCTCTCTCTCTCTCTCTCTCTCTCTCTCTCGCTCTCTCGCTCTCTCTCTCTCTCTCTCTCTCTATCTCTCTCTCTCTCTCTCTCTCTCTCTCTCTCTCTCTCTCTCTCTCTCTCTTTTTTTTTTGTTTGTTTGTTTCTCTCTCTCTCTCTCTATCCCTCTATCTGTATGTATATCTCTCTCTTTATTTCTCTCTCTCTCTCTCTCTCTCTCTCTCTCTCTCTCTCTCTCTCTCTCTCTCTCTCTCTCCCTTCCTCTCTCTCTCTCTCTCTCTCTCTCTCTCTCTCTCTCTCTCTCTGCGCGGCGATGCCATTCGTAGAACTCCTGGAGGTCACGGGCGCATCTTTACCGTCACTTATCCTCCTCTATCGTCCGCCAATCCCCTCCTCCTCCTCCTGTCCATCACTTGACCGCCCCACGTCCTCCTCCTTCCCCCCGCGCGCATATTATACTTCGCATGTGTGTCCACCTTGCGGAGTTCAAGCTTAGCCTCAACTCTCCGCCTGCGGCTCGGTGAGCAACCATCGCTATCGACAGACGGGCCCAGGGGCGAATCGGCCTTGTTGAGGCGGGCTTCTAGGGGGTCGATTGGGGGTCTCTTGGGGCGGAAGGCTCGAATTGTTGGTTCGCGTTCTCTCTTGGGCCCTTCTTGGGGCCGTCTTGTTTGGGGCCCTCTTGGGCGATCTTGGGCAATTTCGGGGCCCTCTTCGGGGCCTGTTGGGCCGCCCCGCACAAAAATGCGTGGGGCGTTTTTTTTTTGGGGCGGGGCCCTGGCCCCGGACCATTTGGCCAAGGGGGGCTTCTCAGGAAACCTGAAGATCTAAACATGTAAAGATCTAAATCACATGTGTCCATGCGCGGTGGGGGGGTGGGCGGGGCGGGGGGCGCGGCGGGGGGGCTGGGCGAGGGGGGGGGGGGGGGGGGGGCGGGGGGGCGAGGAGGAGAAGGAAGAGGAAGACGACGATCATTGGGGAAAGGGAAAGCAGAAAGATAACGAAAGACGAAGAGGAGGAAGAGGGGAGGAGCAGCGGGAATGTGGCGAGGGAGCCCGAAAGTGCAACCGCCGCCCCGCCGCCCCCGCAGGCCCCGTCGACCCCGCAGGGCCCCGTCGACCCCGCAAGCCCCCAGGGGATCAGGAAAAACGATTTTTTCAGGAGCGAGTTTTGGTTGATTTCGGCCGCGCGGGTAGAAGTTTTTATTGGCTCACGTCGTAGGAAAACTGCGAGGGCCCCGGAGACAAACTAAATTTTCAGGCCCCTCGATTCTAGAAATAACAGCCGAATCCCTCAGGCACGCGCGTATTTCGACCCGGAAGTATGCGAATTCGACCCGTATGCGTTCAATTGCCACGGTGCTCTGGAAGGACAAAACTCTCGCAAATGTTTGAAAACATGGTTTCCGAACTTGTAAAACATTGACGCCGCGCGTGGCACCACGCATTGCTTGCTTGTCAGTCGTGTTTTGAGGGGGGTCGCTATCGCATTTTTCCGATGGTTTCTGGGGCGCATCGTAGTGCAAAGCGACAGTTCGGAAGTGCACGGAAACGTCGGTTTCATTATTTGTGAGGTTTGTCCCATGCGGTGGTCTGTGGGTCACGTGCGTCGGTTCCTCGAGAAAACGTACACCGTGTCGATGAAACTGTGACGATCGACCCATTCATCGTTATCGTTTTTGTCAAGTGAGGCGATTCACCGAATACTCATGCGTCCCTATTAATAAGGACGCGCTAGTTGCACCGAGCAGGTTGGTGACGCTTCTCATCACCATGCGCGGCCGATGCGTTTGAAATTACAGGTAACGTTATTGTCTTTTTTTCAGATTTGCATTGCAAAGGCGAACTTGCGAGAGATGCACGCGCGCGGGTATGAAGCGCCCGACTTATCGACCTACGTTTTCGTACGCGTTTCTGCGTTAGGAATCCTGCAGCAAACAGTGCGTTTCACGCAGGTTTATATAGATAGCATAACTAGTGTGACCTCCTGCTCCTCCTGATCCCACGGCGTCGGGTGATCTATAAATGGCGAGGATGTCTCGAGCGAAAGCGAGGCTCCTGACTAAAGCGAAAGCGAGGCTCCCACCAGGAACAACTGTAAAACACAAGCTTTGCTCACTACAGAAATCTATTGAGGTACCTGGTTCGGGGCAAGGGTTTTGGGATCCCGATCCAAGGGGAACTCCAAGGATTCGGCCCGCGAGCGTGCAAAAACGACATTGCTCACCAAGGTTATTCCAGGACCAGAAAGCTGGTAGTAAGCAAAAGCTGTTCGGTCTGGTTTGAGCGTATGCAGATGGCTCACGTCACCCCGCCGAACCCTCAGAAGACGCGGGTGCTCGCGAAAATCGTAGAATCTGCCCGCAGAATCCAACGACACCACCGCAGAATGTAGGTAACGGCCCCACAGAAAAGCCAACGATTCCAACCGAAAACGAGAAAAAACGTTCTTGCTCACTAAGCCCTTTTCAGTGCCAAAAACCTGTGAGTGAGCAAGAGTTGTTTCAGCTTGTTTTTTGAGCACATGCGAATGGCTTGGGCCATCCCGCGGATATCTCAACAGAAGGTGGTGCTTGCGACGATCGCGGGATCATCTTGCGCCCCAGGGGCGTTTTCAATGGATATGACACCTTGCGGAGGGATCGCCATCTATGCCGTTGGCGACATGCGCCGCATGACGCGCATCTGTATCATCGGTGCTAACGCGATCGCAACCGTCTTGGCTTCAAGGCAGAGTGGCGCCATAGCGCGCTCAGTGCGCCCCTCGGGCAGGGGAAGCGCCCGTCGCGGGCGCAGCCAGTTTGCGCGCTCCATGAGGATGTCTTGGGACGAGGGGGAGCGCGGGCGAAGCCGAAGCCCGCGGCCAAGCCCGCGCGCGACCCCTGCGCCTTCTCCAGGCGCGGTGTTCTCCCCAGGCAAGTACAAGGTGAGCATCTTCCAGAAGTTCGGCCGCAGTTCGAGCGCCCTCGCGGACCGCTTCACTGTCGTGGCCGACGACGTGGACATGGGCGACGAGGAGATGTCGCTGAACGACGAGGTCTCGAAGACGCACGCTGCCGCGCAGAAGCTGGTGGCAAGGAACAACGATCGCCTCGGGAAAAAGTACGACGAACTATGCGTCGTGAAGACCATTGATGAGATAGAGCGGGGCGGCGCCCGCGTCCACGATCTCTTCCTCCTCCGCGCGTTCATGGCCGTCTTCGGGGGCCCGAAGAGCCCGGCCCGTGGCGCGCGCGTGACGGGCAGGCGTGCCGGTACCACAATGGAGCTTGGAAGCACGCCGCCGCGATGAACGTGCAGCAGGCGCTGCGCATGGAGAAGGCAGTGAACCAGGCGGACGCGATCCTTCTCCGCATGAGCAAGGACAAGAACGTGAGGCGACCGTCGTGGGACGAAGGGTGGCTCCTTGACTACGCGAGCCCGGCCGCAGCGGCGCAGGCCGATGGGGATGATGGCCCAGATGAGAGCTTCTCCATCGCGCGCAAGATGCTCCGCGAAACGCTGACGAGGTTTCTGACTACCAGGAACAACAACATCCTCAAGACCTTCTGCAAGTGGTGCGACCAGCAGAAGCGGGCGGAGCCTCGCCTAGCGTTCAAGGACGCGTGCCTGAAGATCGAGCCTGGCAAGGCAGCTGAAAAGATGGACAAGAGCCCCGAGGTCACTTGCTACGCGCACATGGGCTTATCCATCAAGTTCAAGCCTCCTGCGGCTGACGTGGAAAGGTACGACCTGACGATGGCCACCCTCTACGGCGATGGCGCGGAGTCCAAGGAAATCGAGGGCGTCGGCGAGGCGTTGGCGCTGATGCACCAGCGGCAGCCGCCTCGCGCGCGAGTTCGAAAAGGGAAAGGTCAGTCGCCAACAATACAAATCTAAATATCTAAACATCTGAATCGGCGAGGCCGTGGTTTTCAAGTACTGAGATATTTGGATTGCTGGATCGCCCCGCGGCCGCAGGATCTAAACATTTGAATATCTAAATATCTAAATCGGCGAGGCCGCGGTTCTCAGGCATTTGGCATTTAGATCGGCCGTTCGCCCCGCGGCCGCTGGATCAAAATATTTAAATATCTAAACGTCTAAATCGGCGAGGCTGCGCTTTTACGCATTTGAATATTTAGATCGGCGGTTCGCCCCGTGGCCACAGGATCTAAATATCTAACTATCTAAATAGCTAAAACCGCAGCCTCGCCGATTTAGCGATTTAGATATTTAGATTGGCGGTTGCCCCCGCGGCCGCGGGATCTAATTATCTAAATGCCTAAATAGCTAAAACCGCAGCCTCGCCGACTCAGCAATTTAGATATTCAGATCGGCGGTTCGCCCCGCGGCCGCGGGATCTAAATATTTAAATATCTAACTAGCTAAAACCGCAGCCTCGCCGATTTAGATATTTAGATATAGACATTTAGATCGGCGGTTTATCCCGCGGCCACGGGATCTAAATATCTAAATATCTAAATAGCTAAAACCGCAGCCTCGCCGATTTAGATATTTAGATATTTAGATATTTAGATCGGCGGTTCCCCCCCGCGGCCACGGGATCTAATTATCTAAATATCTAAATATGTGAATATCTAAAACCGCAGCTACGCCGATTTAGATATCTAGATATTTAGATATTTAGATCGGCGCCCCCCCCCGCGGCCACGGGATCTTAACGTCTGAATATCTAAATAGCTAAAACCGCAGCCCCACCGATTTAGATATATAGGCATTTAGATATTTGGATCCCGCGTCCGCGGGGCGAACCACCGATCTAGATATCCAACCGCCTGAAACCGCAGCTACGCCGATTTGGATATTTAGATAATTAGATATTTAGATCCCGCGGCCGCGGGGCGAGCCACCGATCTAAATACCTGAAGCTTCGTAGTGGGCAGGGTTTCTTCGGCTCGGTTTGAGCGCATTCGTCTGGCCAGCAGGTCTTGAGGCTTTGAGAGGAATCCAGTATATGCAGACGTTCGGGTCGCCTGCTCTGCGTCCTCCGCCTTGCGCTGGCAGTGCGCGCGTAGGCTCTTATTCATGTTTCCCCGGGTGGCAACGGGAAGTCGCTGCGGTCGAAGCTGACTCTGGCTGCGCTCGGCGAGGCGATGGTCAAGTTCGCCAGCACCTACCTCCTGACCAGAGACAGGGAATTCCAGGTTTCTGCCAAGCGTCTCATCGGCACCATGGCCGTAATCTTCCAGGAGGCGCAGAAGGGCGAGAAGATCCAGGAGATCGTTGCCAAGGACTTGTTCGCCAGGGCGGAATTGCTCGCTCGTGAGAACCACGGGAAAGCCGAGGACGAGCGCTACTACGCGTGGACATGCACTGATTTTGTCATCGAGTTGAACCACGCGTTCCGCATTGAATGCGGCGATGATGCCGTTCACGCCTGGCGGCGTCGTTTGCTGCTGATCGCATTCGAGGGCGATTTCACTCGCAACACCCCACCTTGGCATCGGTTGAGCGCGGCCTCTACCTGGCTGACCCGGAATTGGAGGAATGGGCCCCCTCAGGAGTGGCGGGCTTCATCCATATGGCCCGAGGCATCCTGCCGATCATTGAGAAGTATTCGGCGACCGAGGCCTACGACAAGCTTGACAATCCCCCCCCCCCCCCGCGCGCGCAGCGATGAACGAAGAATTTCTGCGCGACATCAGAGCGGCGGACGGCCGCGACGCAGCTGTCCTGCACAATGGGCCGCGTGACCACGGCGCCCAGGCGAGCGTCGCCTCGGAGCCCCTCGGCCAGGCATCCATGCTCCTCGCCATCATCCAGCTCGACGAGGATGTCAACGCCTCGGACAGCTCGCAGTGGCGCGCGAGGGCTGGGTCTTGCCTCCAAGGCGGGCGGCAGTCTGAAAAGAAGGAAGCCTGGAACTGCATGAAGGATTTGGCCTCATGGAAACCCGTGGTGCGGCAATGGGGCCGCAAGGTTCCTTTTTACTTTCCAGCCCTTTGCGCCAGCGCCGACCTCAGCGTGCTGTTCCCCGGCGCGAACCACCCAGCGATCACAGTCGAGACCGCGTTCCCCGAGAGGCTCGATCTGGGCCGCCTGGAGCTCTACATGACGTGCCCCGAGAGACGGCGCAACTACCATGCGCTGATCAAGCACCTCCAGGCAGCGCAAGCAGGGGGGGCGGGCATCAAGCAGACGAGAGGTCGACCGACGCAAGCCGCCATGGAAGCGTTCGAGGCGCGGTCGCGACACGAGGAGTCGCTCCAGTCGACGGGGGCGGCGGCGGACAAATTACTGGAGGAGCACCGCGGCTCCGATGGAGCCCTCCAGGTCAAGTATCACATCTCGGCCATCGGGGGCGCCTGCGCGCGCAGCAGGAGGCACGCGAAGGGCTCGGCGCCCCAGCACCTGAGCAAGCAGATCCAGATGATTGCGCATCCAGACGTTGTGAAATTGGATTGGCGCAAATGTTTCTTGACTCTGGCGCCTCAGGTCATGAAGCGCCTCAATATCAATGTGAACGGAGATCCGTCGGAGCAAGGGCGCGCCATCGAGGCCGTCGCCGCGTGGCCTGACATCGATGCCAAGAAGACCGTGGCGCTGGGCGTCCTGTTCGGCAAGAAGCACGCAGGTGAGCAGTTCAAGGACATGGAGCGCGACGCGAAAGTGCTCCGTTGGGCGGCTTCGTCTGCCTTGCCAGACGTGTTTGGGGCGGCCGTTGAGGACGAGAGGGGCAGCCCTGAGCTCACCTGCGTGTCGAGACTCCTCGAAGGAGCGGAGGACGCTTGCACTGAGGCGCTGGTGGAGTTCGCGCTGGAGAAGCGGGGGCCCGCCGTGACCCACCTTGCTTGGGAGTTCGACGGCATCGGAGTGAACCCTAGCGTGCTCGAGGACTCGCACACATTTATCACGGACGCAGAGAGCTACGTTTACAGAAGACGTGTTACATGATGCACCTCGCTGCGAAGCAAGAGCGCTCGTTGCTCCAGGCTCAGGGCAGGAGAAGGTACCGATGCCGCTGACCCGCCGCCATTCTGGCCCTCCTTGGCCTCCAGGGGTTTTCTTGTTGTTTCGCTGGTTTGGCTTCGAAATTCAAATCCGAATTCGCCCCAGGAGAGGTCCGTAGGTCTGCGGCATCGGTACCTTTTCATCCTCCCACAGGCGCTCGAGGCAAGCGGGCAGCAGCTGCCCATCGATGACGAGCCTGGAGAGCTCGACCAGCTGGCGCCGTACTTCAGTTCGGGAAATTGCATCCAGGCCGCAGTGATCGTATCCTGCGGGCGCGGCAAGCCGCCTCTTCCAGCTCCAGAGCGAAAGTCTCGCTCCTATCGCGAGGTCGCTGCGCACTTCGAGATCAGTCTCGAAGGCGCCTGTGTCATGGACGTGCTCAGCGATCTCGCATCTGGTCGCACTTTGCATCCTGGTGACTGCCTCTTGCACAGCGAACTTGGCGGGGAGGCCCATTGCGTGCTGCTCCGCGCGTCGGCGGCGGCTCAGGGGGAGAACGGACCTGAACAGACGTTCGACGTGATTGGCACTCAGTGCGGCCCAGAAGAAGGTCGGTGCAGGTGCAGGGTTAGTTCGGTCGGCTTCTGCAAGGCGATTGGTGGCGCGGCCGACAAGCGCCTGGCCGCGGTCTTCCGCATCAACGGCAAGATGGGCCGCTCCACGGATGCCTTGATGGACTTGGAAGCCGGCGCTTCTGCGAGCTCGCTGGCTGAAGTGCAGTTACCTCTCGCCTCCGCAGATCCATATGAGGTCGACTTGGCCTCGTTGTCCGAGCGCGATGAGGACGTCGACGAGCCCGACGAGCCCACGTGTCTGGAGATGTTCTGCAGCACTCTGGGCAAGGAGGCTGCGGACTACCAGGCCGAGATCGGTGCCTCTCGATCTCGCACTCACTGCCGCTGTGCCCTGTGCCCGTGGCGATCGTTCAGCCGCCGCGAGCATCTCATCGAGCACCAGAAGCACCACCGGCCCCCTAAGTTCATCGCGTCTCGCGAGGACGATGCCCTCTTCAATGTCGCCATGTCACTTTACAAGTTCGACCGCGTCTGCTCGGTGGTTAATCGGGCGGCGCAGAAAGACGGCGGCTACCTGGCCCGCGCTGCCGATTTGCTTCGAGCGTGGAATCGTGACGCTCCTGCGGATGCGCTGAAGGCTGCGAGCCGCTCCAACGAAGCCCACCTCGTGTTCGTGTTAACGGAGGCGGGCCCTCGCTACTGGTTGCGTGCCAAGTGCGCTGACTGCATTCGCATTACCCCCAAGATCTCGTACACCAAAGGCTTCGAGGACTCGCTGGTTAGCCACGCTTTGGTCTCGCGCGGAGCGATGAGCGGCGTGCTGGACCATCTCCACAGGCAGTGGTCCCGCGACGGAGAGTCGCCATTCTTGGCCTGCCGCCCACACCTCTTGCGTGAGATAATGGACCACGTGTTCCGCCACCCCGACGGCCTGGTTCAGCATGCGGTACGACGGCTCATGGCAGAGGAGGTCGCCCTGGGAGAATTCACAGCGCTTACCCACGACGGCACCTTCAAGTTTCTGTTCTCCGTCATTGGCCCGAAAAAAATGGACCAGAAAAAGGGCGGGATCCACGTCGGGCACACACTGATGGGAATGACGGGAGCTTGCCCTGGATTCAGCGTCCAGCCCGACGAGAGCATGGAGAGCTTCGGCGCAGCGGTGAAGGAGCGCTTGACCCCCGCCGCAATCGAGCAGGTGCGGATGCTGTACTCCGACGCCCCGAGTGAGAAAATGCTGGAGCATTTGCCGAGGTGTCTCGGCGTGGCGCAAGACAGGTTGCACATGCCCTTGCGGGCTGAGCAGTGCACGGACGGCAAGAGGGCGGCTTGTTCATTCGAGTTGCTGCAGCTCACCAGGAAATTATCCCGTCCTCTCGGCGTGTCTGAGGAAAGCCTGGCGAAGGAGATCTACCATGGTTCCCCGATGGCTGAGGTGGCTTGGGACGACGTGCAGCCCGCGCGCGAGCGCGTCGACCGCGACTGGAATGATTTCTGCAACCAGCCACGCTCTTCGCACGCGGAGTACGTGGCCGAGTTGAAACGCACTGTCCAGAAACACGACAACATGATGGACAAGAAGAACTCCAAGGGTGTGACGCTCCGCAAGGTCCTGATGAACGCAAGCTCCACGAATAACTACTACTACTACTACTACTACTACTACTACTACTACTACTACTACTACTACTACTACTACTACTACTACTACTACCTGCGCAATAACTCGGCGTTCGCCCAGCTCTCTCGCGGGCAGCTGATCGCCCAAGGCACGCCGCAGAGCGAGGCCGAGCACAGGACTCTGAAGCGCTGGGGATGGTGCGTCTGGCAGCAGCACGAAGATAGCGTCCACGTGCTGAAGGAGGTCTACGCCCTGTACCGCTTGCTCGCCAATGCCGCCCAGCGCGAGCAGCTCGGCACGCGGCTTCCACCCCTGCGGCTCGCGCAGATCGTGGCAGGCCAGATCGCCGCTGGCGGTCTCAGGGGCAATCCTGGGAGAAGCGAGGCGCCGCCTGCTCGAGAGGATGGCCCAGGAGTTTCGGTGCCCAACGGAGAAGGCCCGAAGCGCAGTGCACTCAAGAAGTCCGTTGTCAAGATGGGCGCCGAGTTGGCTGCGAAACAGCAGGGCGGCAAGAAGAAGCGGGCCGCTTCGTGGAGCAAGGCCACAATGGCAAAGAAGAAAAAGCCGTGGGGGCACAAAAAGAGAGCAGCGCAATCGAGGAAGGCAACGCCCTCGACGGTGCACGCCGTGGTCGAGGAGGTTGCGGGGCTCCAGGCCTAATGCGTCAAGATCAACTTGGCCTGAGATCAGGCCATTCGGCCTGGTCCGGTCTAGGGCCAGGCTAGCACTCACCATTCTTTATTGCACAGCCAGACGACTGTATGAGCTGGGCTGCTAGACGTGAAACCTTCAACCATCAACATCCCTTTCCTCATCGCTACGGCAAGCCATGCCATACACCAGATTCGCCGCAATTGATGCTGTTCGGATGCGTTTGCATGAATGCCAGACTTCACGTGCATACCTGGATCTGCAGATCTGGGTTTGTTAAGGTTGTTGCAAAGCGATCCTTCAAACACACCCAAAACAGCTCTTGCTCACTAAGCCTTTTCCAGGGCCAGAAACCTGGTAGTGAACAAGAGAGTTCTCTCTGGTTCCGAGCCAACTTCCGACCTTATCTGGATCTTTAGATGTTTAGATATTTAAATTTTTCTGGGTGAGCGTCTTGGGCCGAATGGTCCGGGATCCGGCCTTTCACGGGGGGGGGCCCCCCCTGGGTGAGATTTGGGGCTCCCGGAGCTTTTGGAAAACCCCTCCCTGGGAGGGGGTTCGGGGCTCCCAGGGCTTCTGGAAAACCTTTCCCTGGGGGGGGGGGGTCCTGGAGCTTCTGGAAAACCTTCCCCTGGGGGGGGTTGGGGTCCCGGAGCTTTTGGACCCCCCCCCGTGTGTGGGGGGGGGGGGGTCCTGGAGCTTTCGGAAAACCCGCCGCTGGGGGGGGGGGTAAGGGTTTTTGGACTCCCCTCTGGGGGGTCCTCCTCCCTCCTCATCCTCCCCTTGGGGGCCAGGGCCGGAGCGAGGCCGGATCGGCAAAAGCCGGCAGGAATCGGCTGACGCATCGAATCGGCAGGTGCCGGATCGGGCAAACTCGAAATCGGAATCGCGAATCGGAATCCCGGAATCGAGTCGGTTCGAAATCGGAATCGCGGAAATCGATTGAATCGAGACGGCGGAATCGGAATGGCCCCTGATGGTGCGGGCCACCCTCAGCGAGTTCCAAGCTCAGGCGGCGACGAACGTGTACTGGGCATGGCACTTCTGGGAGAGGATCGCTGCCGTGGACTCCTCCATGGGCTTCCACCCGGACTTGCGGCGCCTGCTGCAGACGCATGGCTACGTGGGCGCTGGCACCAAGTCCACCCCCGGGGGAAACCTTCCGCAGGAGCTGGAGACGCTGGTGACCACTGCAGCGGCTCCGCACGGAGTAGGCATGCAGGCAGCCCCTGGCTGGAACTGGACGCCAGCCGCGCAGCAGCGGCAGTAGGACAGCCGCTGGAACATCAGCCCCCCGCCGGCCGGACTTGAAGCGGGCGGCGCCGGAGATATACCGCTCCATGCGCGGGGCTGGGGCAGCAAGCGCTCGGGACTGGCTGTCGCAGGAGGTGACGGGCCAGCGGCGCGCGGCCGTCTGGACCGACCTGTGGACGGCGGCCACCAATGTGGACTACCTGCTGGGTGGTTGCAGGACGCAGTCGGAGGTGCTAACACGCCTGGCGTCGGACGATGCGCTCGAGCTGCACCTGCGACGGCTGGCGAGCTACGCCTACGAGCTGCGGACGAAGGACAAGGTGGGCGCGGCGGCCAGGCTGGCGGTGCGCCCGCCAGGGTCCTCCACGGACCTGGCGCCCACCTGGCTGGTGACAGAGGCCACCGCCCACAGCAAGGCGGAGCACTAGAGAGACGAGCGGGTCGCCGTCGCGGGCAGGCGCAAGGGCCGGGGCAGCGGCCGAGGTGCCAGCTTCGGCGGAGGCGCAGGCGGCGGCGGCGTTTCAGCAGGAGGCAGCAGAGGCAGAGGAGGAGAAGGCGGGGGGCGTGGCCGTGGCCGAGGGGGCAAGCCCTCTGGCCGTGGCAAGCCGCAGGCGTGACGTTTGCTGGCGGACCCCGGGGCTGACCCTCCCTCGGTCCGTGGTGGTGCCCCGCAGCAGCGGGTGCAGCCGGAGATGCCAGCGACGGGTTCACCTGGCTCGCTTGCGCGGGCCCTGCAGTGGAAGGAGGCCGCGGCCAGGTCTTACTTCCCTATACCTCTGCCAGCTCGGCCACTACAAGGATGCACCTCGTCCGGCAGGTTGAGGGCGAGATGGGCTCGACGAATGGCGTCTGGCGCAGGGCCTGCGGGCCCATCGAGCTCATGAACGGGATGGACTGCGGATCCCTGGAGGCGAGACCGGCGGGCCAGCGAGAAGCATGCGACGACGCTGCTGGCCTGGAAGCTCGCGCAGCAGTACGCGTTGCAGGACGCGGCGCGGTATGAGCGCGACTGCCCGGGGCTCGCCCCGACAGGCGGTCATGGGACGGAGGTCGCTCACGACAAAGGGCCGCAGGACGCCTACACTGGAGAGCGTAAGAGTGTGAGTAAACATGTGATGATGTGCGCGACGGCCGTGACCGAGCCGCCTGACGACCATGTCGTGGATCTGCTGGAGGCGCTGCCAGACGGTGAGCGGCAGTGCTACGCGGACGAGCGGAACGTCCTCGATTACAGCGGCAAGTCGGGGACCACCTTCGGGGAGCCGGAGGAGCGTTTCGCGTTCGTGGGGGGCTCGACGTCGGAGTACGCCCGCTACCTGATGCGGGAGGACCTGCCGAAGAATATGTGGACGTTCGAGGCCCCCTGCGATGTGCAGGCCTACTGTGGTTTCAGCTGCGTGCCGAAGAAGGACCCGACGAAGCAGAGGAAGGTCCTGATGATGTGCGCCAGCAACTACGTGTGGGCCGACCCGCGCCAGCGCGGGGACCACGGGATGCGCGGCGGGGCGGCGATGGCCTCCATGTGCGTCCCGACGGACGTGTGGGGCGTGGCGGCCTTTGACGAGGGCAACGCCTTCACGCGCCTCCGGGTGCCCGCCTGGATGGCCCGGTGGCAGGCTTGCCCGCCGCTGCGGGCCTGCTGGGTGTGGGAGAAGCTGAGCCAGCGGATCCGCGACCTGGTGGGGCCTGCGGGCTGGGTGGCACCGTGCTACCACCAGCTGGCCATGGGGGGTTCGCACTCCGTGAACCTGTTGATGACGGTGAATATGCCGATCATCGGCAGGGCGCTGCTGGGCGTGGGGGCACGCTTGGCGGCGCTTCAGAGCGCCGCGGCCCCTGCGGACGCCGCTGCAGGCGGCGCGCCTTGCACCTCGCCGCCCGAGGGCGGGGGGCTGGGGGGCGAGGCGAGAGCGGGGGAGGCGCAGGAGTGCGGGCAGTGGCACCGCTACGACGACGACTGAGTCATGCAGCAGTCGAGTTGCCGCGCGGAGCCCCCGAGCTCGGGGGGCCACAGCGTGGCCGAGTGGATCGAGGCTGTGAAGGCGGCGAAGAGGGAGGACGAGCGGGCGATGGTGGTGATGCGCCCCTTTGCTGGCCGTCGGCGCCGAGGCGACGTTCAGGAGGTAGTGGAAAGGCAGGCGCGGGAGCGCTGCATGCGCGTCCTCTTCCTCTCCGCGGACCTCCTTGACGACCCGCGGTGGGACCTGGCGAACCCCGCCACTTTCTCTGCGCTGATGGAGCTGTGCGAGGGGGGCAGGGTAGACATCGTGCTGGGTGGGCCGCCGTGCTCGACGTGGTCGAGGGCGCGGTGCAATCGTCGGAGGCCAGGCCCGCCGCCAGTCCGCTCTCGGCTCTGCCCCTTGGGCCTGCTGGGCTTGAGAGCGTGGGGGGCCGCGAGGAACCTGTTGGCGCTCTGCGAGGCGTGCGGCCAGAGTGGCGGCGCCTTCCTCATTGAGCACCCGGAGGACCCAGGGCACGAGCCCTACCCATCCATCTGGAACACCGAGGAGATGCTGGACTTCGAGGGGCGGCGCTCCGCCCAGCAGGCGCGCCTGGACCAGTGCATGCTGGGCGGGCGCGCGCGGAAGCCGACCTGCCTCAGTGGCGCGCTGCAGGGAATGGAGGCCCTGAACGAGTTGCGGTGCGACGGCTCCCACGTCCACGCGTCCGCCGAGGGCAAGCTGGCCGACGGGGCCTTTCGCGCGAGCCCCCTCGCGCAGCACCCAGAGGCGATGTGCGAGACGCTGGGGGGCATGGTAATGCAGAACCTTGCCTGCTTCGAGCTGAGCGGCTTGGGAGGCGCGGGCTGGCGACGGCCGCCCGAGGCAGACGGGGCGGCGACGGCCTGGGGCACGCGCAGCTCGACTGCCCCCGCCGTGGCCGTGCGGAACGAGGACGTGCTGCGAGGACGAGGGCTTGTGCTGGACGGGCCGCATCTGGCCTTCTACCTGCACGTCGACGACGGCGCGGTGATGGCAGGAGGCAAGGACGGCGGCTCACGAGCGACGAGTACGATGCACCAGCTAGCGGACGCCCTGGCCGAGGCGGGCTTCGTGGTCACCGACCGCGCGGAGGCCTGCGACATGCGGAAGGTGCTGGGCTACGCGCCTCAGGCGCGGCCAGCGCAGCTGTGCATCCCCAGTGCGGTCTTCCGACTGCTGGAGAGGTACTCGCACCAACGGGTGAGCACCTGGGCGACCGTCCGCAGGGAGCTGCGGGCCATGGCCAAGGTGGTGCCGCTGATGTACGCGGACTTGGGGGCCCCACCTGCGCCCGTCTACTTCGCCGCGGATGCCGTGGGCGCCAACGCCGAGGACGACGGGGGCTGGGGGGCCCTGGTGACCGACATGAGCAAAGAGATTGCGCAGGACTTCATTGATACGGGCGGCAGCCTGGGCTACACCGTGGCGAGACTGGACGGCGAGCTGACTGGACTGCGGCGCCCGGAGCAGATGATCAGGAGGACGACGCCCTTCAGCCTCCTGCCCGATCGCGCGTTCAAGCCCGACGAGGACTGGACGATCGTGGGCCAGGGGAGGTGGCGATCAGCCGACCACATCACCCTGGGTGAAGGGCGCTGCGTCGTGAAGATCAGCAGGCTGGCGGCCGCCACGCCTGCCCTCCACCGCACCGTGCCGCCGATCTTGGAGGACAACCAGCCAGTGTCAGGCGCCGTGCACAAAGGAAGGTCCCCCGCGCACCAGCTGAACCGTCTGCTGCGACTGAAGACCGCGGCGGGGCTAGCATCACGAACTAAGATTTTGATTCCATGGATGGAGACACTCAAGCAGCCTGCCGATGAAATATCGAGGTGCCTGAACCGTGCTGAGCTCCGCGGCCTACGTCATGTCGGGGCCGAGGAAGCTGGACAGCACTTCTGTTGAGAAGGTGAAGCCGCACACCCTGGCAGCTTACAGGGCAGCGGCTTTGAAGTTTGTGACTTACTTGGACGAGCGCGGCTTCGTCCCCGACGGGCCCGAGCAGTGGGGCGACCTGCTGGCGGAGTACAAGAATGACATGCGTATGACTGAGTGCAACTTCGAGTATGCCGCCGCTGCGGTGGAGTTCGTCTTCCCACGCCTGAGGAGGAAGCTGACGTGGTCCCATTCGGTGATAGACGCATGGCGAGTCGCGGCTGAGGTCAAGCACGCTCCGCCGCTCGGGCGCGCGCCAGCCAGCCTAGCCGCGATCGACTTTGCATGCTGGGGTGCGCCGCGGCTGGGAGCAGGCCTGCTTCTGCAGGTGGACCGCGGCCTGCGACCATCAGAGATGTTGCGGCTACGAACAAAAGATATATCTCTACCATCGTCTAGAGGGGGGGCCTGATCTGCAGCCGAATTTTGCAATGAACTTGGGGGTCAAGGCGGGGGCAAAGGCCAAGAGGATGCAGTTTGCCATCATACTGGAGCGAGACGGGGTGTTGGATAATCTCCTGCACCGAGTGGTCTTGGGGACACCGCCCGAGGGCCTCCTCTTTCCCTACTCGCTCGTCGACTACAGGCATCGGCTCAGGCAGTTTGCAGCGGCCCTGGGCCTCGACATCCACTGGGCGCCCCACTCGGCGCGGGCGGGCTTTGCTAGCGATTCCGCGGCTCGTGGCATCCCCTTCCAGGAGATCAAGGAGGCAGGACGGCGGCTCACCGAGTCCAGCCTCCGCATCTACGTGGACGTTGTTACCGCGTCCAGGGCCCTGGCACAGGCTGAGCAGCGAGGAATCGCATCGCTCGTCCGCGAGGCGGCCAAGAAGCTACCCAGCTACTTCCCGAAGGGCATCTTCGGCGAGAACGAGGGCCGCAAGCATGCCGCCGTCTGGCTGGCGCAAGGGGGAGGACGGGACCTGGGTGCTTCCAGTGCCTGGGCGCCCGCCAGCCCCACTGGCGGGGGGCCGCCGAGTGGCCTCCCCAGCGCCAGCGGCGAGGCCGCCGCCAGCGCTGCCGCCAGTGCCGGGCCTGGGCGAGCTGGTGGACGGGATCATGGCGGGGCCGCCGCAGCTGGGGGATGCAGCAGCGGGCGCGGGTGCGGCCGAGGCCGAGGCGCCAGCGCCAGCGAACCTGGTCGCGCTGCAGCCGATGGCCGCGCGTCCGCAGGCGGCGGGCGCGGCGGCAGGGCAGCGGCGCGCGGGCGTCAGCGGCTGGGCGCTGGTGCGCGCGGCCTGGAGCACCGCAAGGTGGTGCGGGCGCTCGACCACACGAGGCGTGACGTGGGCGGCGGTCGCCGGCTGGCTGATCGCGTGTCTGTACGTGGCAGGGCCGATGGCGCACTTCGGGACCATGATGGGCGTCGCGGCGAGCGTGTCGGTCTCGGCGGGGGAGGTGGTCGACCACAGCCTCGGAGCAGCGATCACGGCTGCTCAAGGCGTGTCCGACTTCGCCGTGACGCCGACGCGCCACTCGGCGAACATCCTGCAGGAGGCGTGGCGAGGCGTGGACATCACCGATCTCAAGGTCCACCAGCGCCACGCCGAGAGCATCGCCGACGACCCCACGCTCTTGCAGGAATGGGTCTTTCGAGAGCTCTTGTCAGTGGAGCCGCGGCCGCCTGGTGCCGATCAGGTGGCCAGCGCGATCGCTGAGGCTTCGGTGACACTGCCACGCGCAACAGAGAGCTGGCAGATGCTGGTGTGGCCAGGTCAGCACAGAGAGTTCCACATGACATACGACCTACTGTCTACAGGATTTTACGGCGTCCATGTTGGTGATCGCATCGTGAATTTCAGCGTTCAGTGGTCGAAGCCTTTGTGGAGCGGCCTCGAGTGCGACCTCGGCTCGGAGAGGGACACCATTCTCCTTCTCATCAACTCGACCCTGGCCAAACTCCCCCTCCCCGCGATCCGCTATATGTCGATGAGCGACCGCGAGATCGAGCTAGCCAAGCTCCCGGGGGCCTGGATCAACATGACTCGTAGACTGTTTCGAGCTCTCTTTTTGGCAATCAAGAGCGTCCTTCAGTTATTCTTGTTTGGACGTGATCCTAGTCACAATAATAATGATCTTGTAGGGGCACTGGCGAGGGCGGGCGAGGGGCTTGCTCTCAGTTCTGGTGTGTTCCCAAGGTCCCTTCTCACTGCAAAGGGGTCCAAGCACATTTTGTGCACCGGGCGCAGGGCCAAACTGTGGTTTCATTGATAGCTCGCGAGCGGAGGCGGGAAGAGCTCGGCGGCAAGCCTGTAATTAGCAAGCCAAGCGATTGTATCAAACTTCTCGCCTCCAATTGTAAAAAATTCCAGGGTTGGGTCTAAACGGACACCATCATGGGATGATAATCGTAGAGCATGAGTGTTGATGTGGGGCATGACAGTTTGAGGGGGGGTCGTGGAATTGTCCTTTTTCTGGAGCCTCGGGGCCCTGAGGGTCGTGCGGATTGTGGGCCAAGTTCCCGGCCTAGTGCCCCTGGCCCCGCAAAACGGGAGGGCTCGGTGGCTTGCTGCCGGTTTCCCCCCGTATGATATTGCCCTCGCGTGTGCCGCACGGCCTGCTCCGCAACCGTACCATGGCTCCAATCGTCTCAGATTCTCGCGGCCCCCCCACCGTCCCCCGCCGAGCCGAGCTCGGCGGCAAGCCTGTAATTAGCAAGCCTAGCGATTTTATCGAACTTCTCGCCTCCCATTGAAAAAAATCCAGGGTTGGGTCTAAACGGACACCATGATGATGATGATGATGGTGGTGGTGGTGGTGATGATGATGATGACGATGATGCTGATGCTGATGCTGACGCTGATGCTGATGCTGATGATGCTGATGATGCTGATGATGATGATGCTGATGATGATGATGATGATGGTGGTGGTGGTGGTGGTGGTGGTGGTGATGGTGATGATGATCTGGAGGAGGAGGAGGAGGAGGAGGAGGAGGAGGAGGGGGCGATGAGGAGGGAGGAGCGGGATGGTGATGAAGAGGGAGTAGGAGAAGGTGGCGGAGGTATGATGCTGGAGGAGGGATGAGGAGGAGGGAGGGGAGGTGGAGTCGGGAGAGGAGGATAAGAAGAAACAGGAGGAACAAGAGGCCTCCTCGCTCCTTCTCGTGCTCCTGCTTTTGCTCCTGCTCCTCCTACATACTTGTGCTCACACATCTCCTGGTGGACAAACCTTCCTGCAACCGCGTACTGGTCCCCCTCCTTCTCTTCCTCCTGCTTTCGTTTCTCTCGAGGACTCTCGCTCCTCCTACCGAGGAGGATGAGGATCCAGCTGGATCCTCCTCCTCGTCAGACGGGGGAGGGGGGATGCCTGCGAGCTCATGTGCGGGAACAGCTGCAACACCCTGTAGTCGGACTCGAGGTGCTCGCGCCTATCTCCGTCAGCGAAGCTTGCGCGAAGCTACCCCTCCTTCTCATCCTCCGTCTCATCCTCATCCTCATCCTCATCTTCATCATCACCATCATTGCCACCATAGCCACCATTGCCACCATCACCATCACCACCATCACCATCACCATCATCACCATCACCATCACCATCACCATCATCACCACCACTATCACAATCACCACCACCACCACTATCATCACCATCATCATCACGACCACCACCAGCATCATCATCATCATCATCATCATCATCATCATCATCATCACCATCACCATCATCATCATCATCATCATCATCATCATCATCATCATCAGCATCAGCATCATCATCATCATCATCATCATCATCATCATCATCATCATCATCATCGTCAGCATCAGCATCGTCGCCGTCGTCATCATCATCATCCTCATTCTCGTCCTCATCATCATCAGCCTCATCATCGTCATCAGCAGCAGTAGCAGCATCATCATTATCCTCATCATCAGCAGTATCATCATCACCACCATCATCCTTCTCCTCCTCGCCTTCGCCGTCGGCATCATCGGCAGCAGCAGCATCCTCCTCCTCCTCGTCGTCATCGTCAGCGCCATCGTCATCGTCATCATCATCATCATCATCAGCATCATCATCATCATCATCATCATCATCATCAGCATCAGCATCATCATCATCATCAGCATCATCATCACCGTCACCACCACCATCATCATCATCATCATCATCATCATCATCATCATCATCATCATCATCATCATCAACATCATCATCATCATCATCAACCGTAGCCATTGTGGCTCAAGATGTTGCGATCAGGGCAGATGTTTGGTCCCATGTGGCTGGCTCTAGCCGTCGCGTCACTTCGTGGGTCAGATTCAAAATCGACCAAGCTTTCAGCCAGGCCTTCGTGGCCATAGTTCTTTCATGTCCACATCCTTTCCGACACCTGGCCCCAGTCGCCCGATTGGGAACCCAGCTCCGGCGGGCTCGACCGATGGCAGGACGTGGTGGCGGTGCTCGAGGTGCCCCGCGCGGCGGCGGCGGCAGAGGAGGCGGACGGCGAGGAGGCGGTCAGCCAGGCGTGGGCGACACAAGTGGCGGAGGACCCAAGGCCTGGGATTGCTCAAAGTGCGGAGCCCAAACGAACAGGGTCCCCAGGCACATTTGCCTCAGCTGCGGATATGATTCGTGGGAGCAAGGATCTGGTGCAAGCTCGTGGTGGACTGGCATGTCACAACTGGACGCCAAGGAACGACACGAGCTCAACCAGTTGCGCAGAAAGGTCAAAAAACTTGCAGGTGGTACTCAGTCCGTCCCAGGCGGCGATGCAGGCTCACTGTAAGCAGGAGGAGCGCAGTCACAGTCCCCTAAGGACGAACGAGTATGGCGACTTGGACATCTACATAGTGATATCAAGAAGCTCGAAGGTGCTGAGGGATCATCTGAGGTCCTGGCTGCCAAGCGACAGGATGCTCAGCAGTTGGAACACGAGCTCTCCGAGGAAAAGCCCACGTCTGTCCAGCTCAGCGAGCTGGAACGCAAACAGAAGAAAAACAACAAAAAAAACAGCAGAGCACCACCGAAGCGCTGGAGCGGGATATCGCGATCGCCACGCAGGATATCGAGAGCATGCAGGCAGAGAAGCGCGAGCTGGAAGGCAAACGCGCTCAAAGCAAGGCCACGGAGAAGGAGCTGCAGGCTCTCACCGACAACCTCCTGGCCAAGCACAAGCGCGAGTGTGAAGGGGCCCCGCGCGAAGGGGGGGCTCGGCGCAGGCTTCGGGCCGGCCGCGCCCCCCATCCCCAGCAGCAGCACCCAGCGAGGGCGAGCGCGCCGCCGCCTTCCTGTCGGCGCTCGATCAAGCCTCAGGCATGCTCAACAGGGGGTGCGCACCGCAATGGGAGCAGCAAGTCTCAGAGCTTCGGCGCCTGGCTCATCGAGTTGTCTCTGCAGGAGCGGCAGCGGAACGCGACAGCGGCGACGAGCAGGAACTCGAGGAGGAATATGTCAGCAACATCCTGGACAGCATGGGGGAGGGTGCCGTCGAGGAGGCCCGCGCGGCGGCAGCAGGCGCAGACAGCGGCGAAGAGGGCGCAGGAGCTCGGCCCAAGGGCCCCGCGGCCCAGGCAGCCGCGAAGCGGGGCCAGAAGCTCCTCCAGGGGCTCCGCGCCGCGGGGCTCAAGCGGAGGGGGGGGGGGGGGGCGTGGATAGCTGCCCAACCTTCACGGTGGCGAGCCACAAAGGAAGCGGCTGGGGCCCCTTCACCACCCTCCTCGGCGAGCAGCAGGAGCCTCGGCAGGACGCCGTGGCGCAAGCGCACATCGGGGGCGCGTTCTGTTTCCCGGAGCACCGCCTCAACGAGTGCCGCGCCGTGGAGAGGGAGCAGCGGTGCAGGCAGGCTGGCTGGGGCGCAGCGTTGACCCCTGGCGTCGCCGCCGAGGGGGCTTCTCAGCATCGCGCGGTCAGCGGCGGCACAGGCGTCGCAGTCCGCCCGACTCGGGGGGCGCGCGGTCCTGGCGAGCACGGCGACAGGCAGAGCTGCCACGTCAGCGACGGCAGGGCGACCGTGGCACACGTCAACGGTGTGGTGCCAGGCGGTTTCCTGCCCGGCTGAGTCTACTTGGACAACGATGACGCCGGCGAGAACAGCAAGGCCGTGCTACAGGACGTCGGGGTCCACCTCGAACGCACGGGCAAGCCCTGGGTTATTGCTGGTGACTGGAACGTCGAGCCCGACAGGTTTCGCGAGCGGGCTTGCAACTGGCTGTGCCAGGTGGGCGGCCAGGTTGTCGACGCGGGCGCGGGCGCGTGCCAGCGCCCCTCGTCCAAGGCGCCGTCCGAGCTCGACTGGTTCATCGTCAGCGCGGAGATGTTGGACAGGGTCGCGTCCCGCAAGCGCCTCGACGCGACGGCCCTGGGGTGCGCCAACCCGAGCAGGCCACGCATGGCAGCGAAGCTCAGTCTCACCTGCCACGGGCGCCCCAGCCAGTCGCACAGGGCCATGGGCCCTATGGCGTTCCCCAAGCTGCGGCCCCTCGGGCTGCTGCAGGAGAAGCGCTGGGGCCACAACTCGGCGCGGGCGCAGATCGACCAGGGCGAGGACCTACAGGCCATGGCCGACGCCTACCAGGGACTCTGCGCAGGAGTCGAGGATGAGCTCGTCTGGGTTCACCAGCTCGACCCCGATGAGGCCGATCCCTACCGAGCACGCGGGGGCCCGCCCAGCTTCGGCCACGGCTCGCAGGCGCGTGGGGGGTCCATCAAGGGCCCCAAGGCCAGCTACAAGGGTAAGCAGCTCATGCACCTGAGCGACTACTCTGCCCAGGTGCGGCTTCTCGCAGGAGGGTCCGTCCACGACGGCCGCGGCCGAGATGCGGAACCTCGGCTCAAGCTGGGCCCTGCCCGTCGGAAGGCTGAGCGTCTGCAGACCAGGGCGCTCGAGCGCTACAAGCGCGCCCTTGGCCGTCAGGCGCGCGGCTGGGTCTCTAACCCCAGCGGCCCCAACTACATCGAGGACGAGGCCGAGTGGATGGAGAAGTGCGCGCCCTACATCTTCCGCATGTTGGGGTTGCCGACGCATCCCGCCGCGGGCCTGGCT